ATAATAAAATATATAAATAAACGTATATAAGTTAAGCACTCATGTAATACAGGAGGAGGTAAAATTATTACAATTTTTTTATTTTATTTTTTTTTTTATTGAAATATTTTGTTTATTGCTTGAGAAATTTGTTGCTAGAATTTATTCCGTCAAGTCAAGAAAATAATTTAGGTCAAGTGGATGACCATCCGAATCCGTTTCATGTCATATTCCATCACTATGCGATGCCAGATAAGTTTTTTTCTTAAAGTCCCGTTTAAAAACGTTTTCACATTTTCCAACGGATAATTATTTTGGCTCCATCCCGTAAATATACAATATGCTTATCTATTACCAAGTTAAGCTTGCTAAGATTTATGATTGACTAAGTTAATACTAATACCATATATCAATATAAATCCATATATCAATATACATTTTATAATACATATTTTAGTCTATATTCAAAAAATTTTATAATATTTAACTATGATAACTATAAGTCTATTATTTCAACAATTTCATTATCTGATTGAAATTTCAAATAATCTATTTATAAAATTTAAGGTAATGCATGTAAGACATATCAAATCAAGCGAAAACTATTTACAGGGTATATACAAGTAGCTACACTTATTGCTCTACAAAGGTATGTGCTTATGTGCGTGTGTGTGTATTGGGACATATATGTACAACTACAAAATGTATTACATAATTCTAGCAGGGTACACAAAGGAATTGCCCGGGCAAGTAGACAGGTAAATATCAGTATAGTTTGCTCGTATGTGCATGCATGCATATGTGTGCATGCATGCATGCATATATGTGCACACACACACACACACACATGAGCATATGTACATACATGTGTATGCATATACGGTACTCATACGCCGCCATATAGACACCTTGGATGCCACGGATAATGCAGTCTATGTCTAGCCCCTAACGTGCAATTGTTAAATTTTGGTCTGCCAGTGGCAGTGGGTGGAAATGTGGTCTCGGTCTCTCGGTTTGGGCTTTTGGGTGTGTTACACGGTTTGGGTCTGTTTACGGTTCCGGGACCGTGTTTTGCACCGCACAATCGCCGCCATACAGATGTGGCAGCCAAAAAAAAAAAAAAAAAAAACGAAAACAAAAAAACTGATAATGTACTTCTCCTGCCAACTGCAAAACTAATTTGTTACCGAGGACCTTGCAGTCAGTGAGGCGTTGAATCGCATCGTAACTATTTCATATATGTACATGCATCGTGGAGCATAGTTTCAGAGTACGCCATTGCTAGATATTACTTTATAACTACGCTCAATTATAGCCCTTTTGGCTGGAGACTTGCATATGAACGGCTTTAATTAGCCAACCTGCACTGAGGCTGGCACCTAGACTATTGATTTTCAGTTAATGTTGCTCGCGAATAATGCAATGCAAATATAATAATTAAGAAATATTAGAAATATGCATTTTGCAGGACATTGTCAATGAAGGAATTGACTAAGACTCTACAGTGGCAAGTGACAGTCTTATGAATAGAATAATGATAATTATAATGATATGAATAATGATAATGATAATGATAATGATAATGATAATGATAATGATAATGATAATGATAATGATAATGATAATGATAATGATAATGATAATGAATATGATAATGATTTTTTNATCCTCATGGTTATCTGTGCATAGCAGGGAGGCCATGCGAGGGTTGACTTTGGTCCTTATGGGAGCCAATGTTCAGAGCCAGGATCTTGCACAAATTAAGGATATATATCAACTTAAACCTGTACCACCAATGAAGAATCAGTTGGTGACGATCTTCGAACGTACTTGGAGGCCTGCCAGGGTTTTAACGGGACGGAGGCAGCTGCAGCATTGACCTAGGAGCCATTTCCGCAGGATGTCACTCCTGCTTACTGAGGTCCTAGAATGCGACAGCTGTCAGCCCAGGGGCAAACATTTCAGAAATCGTGTATTTTTCGAAGTCAGGGGTCGGTCAAAGATTTCACTTTAGTAAGTTCTATCTTTCTATTTCTTCTAAAGTCGCTGCACACATTAGTTCACGATTGGTCGGCTGCCCAATCGCTATCCAGTGGGGCCGATCGTGGAGGCTGTGTGTCAACTTGAATTACCAGTGACAAGGATTGCTATTGAAAGTCTCTAGACGAGCAACGTAGCGTTGCCTTGTTTTCGTAACCCCATCCCACCATAATGATAATGATAATGATAATGATAATGATAATGATGATGATAATGATAATGGTAATAATAATAATAACGACTATTAGAGCAACAACAATAGTGCTTAAAAGAAAGAATATTTATGTTTTTGTAATATATTAAAATATATCTAATGGGTCAGTCTAATAAAACTAATATAGATAATGATAATGATAATAATAATTGAATGTAATTGTAATATTCTTACTAATTACTTACTTACTTATGTATACTATGTCATATGATACGATACGATAATAACAATAATTATAGTACTTAAATGGATTTTATTCGTAATACTTGAATATACATATGTATGTGTAATACCCATATTAGCTTAATAGAAATACTAATGATTCTTCTAGTGTCCGATACAATACTCTCTCTCTCTCTCTCTCTCTCTCTGTGTCCCTCTCTCTGTCTCTGTCTCTCTCTCTCTCTCTCTCTCTCTCTCTCTCTCTCTCTATCGAGCGTGATAGATCACGAACATTTACAAATATTTCCTGATTTGATAGATCTTTGACAAATGGTAGGGCAGGCAGAAAAGTAAAGGATTTTTCTGCCACGAGAAGCTGAGCCGTGCGGGCGCCGAGAATGGGAGTGTTGGGCAGGTAGAAATAATCCAATTTAAAAAGCTGTTGGCTAATCCCGAAAACGTTCGAATTTGTCAACTAAGTAGCTGTGTGTGTTTCAGCTGGGATCAATGAATGAATCCGATGGCTTTGGCTTTCATTGATCTGCAGTTGTGGCCCAGCGACGATTACAAGGGCGGCCGGGCAAATCGAATTTAATCTATGGCGCAGGATATAAAGTCGTAATCCCGCAGCTTGCGCACATTCCCTCTCGATTCCCGGTACGAATGTCCCAGGAATAAATAGACCATGCCAGACGAGACCGCCGCACAGTCAATTGAGAACATTTACAGTGGACACATCTCATCGGAAGATTCATTTGAAACATGTCCATGGATACGGCGCCTGTGTTCCAGTCCAGCTTCTCCATACGCTCGCTGCTCTCCAGCACGCAGCTGGAGGAGGAGTCGGGTCAGCAGATCGATGTCGAGGTCGAGGCACAAGCCAAAGTAGAGCCACACAAATATTATACTAGCTCCAGTCCAAGCGATTCCTGCAACAGCTCCGAGGATGCGTCCTCTGAAGATGGCAACACCCATTCCCCCACAGCAAGCTCCAGCAGCAGCAGCAGCAGCAGCAGCAACAGTAATAGCATATCGGATGTGAAGCCCGCCTTTACGTATAGCGCGTTGATTGTGATGGCCATAAGGCGGAGTCCGGAGAAGCGATTGACACTGAGCGGCATCTGCAAGTGGATAGCCGATAATTTTCCCTACTATCAGAATCACAAGAGTGTCTGGCAGAACTCCATACGCCACAATCTGAGCCTCAATCCGTGCTTTGTACGTGTGCCGCGCGCCCTCGATGATCCGGGACGTGGCCATTACTGGGCCCTGGATCCGTATGCCGAGGATCTGACCATTGGCGAGACAACGGGCCGTTTGCGTCGCAGCAACAACTCGCTGCTGGGCCGCAGCAAGGCAACGGCTCATGGCAAGAGTCATGCCTATGCGCATCCTTATCAGCAGCTAACCGGCAATCCAGCTGCGGCGGCAGCGCTCTACGCTCAGCTCTTCAAGCCGCACGCTGCCTACTTTCCCATCGTGCCAGAGCCAGCACAGCCCCAGCATCCAATCATGATGCAGAGCGGCCAGCATGCGATTGGAGCTGGCATGGGCGTAGGCATGGGCATGAGCATGGGCATGGGTATGGGCATGGGCATGGGCATGGGCATGGGCATGGGCATGGGCACATTGGCTATGACAACGGCCGCAGCACAACGATACCAGCAACAGCATCAGCAACAGCATCAAACACAGCATCAGGGTACCTTATCAGCGCCTTACCATCAGACACACACTGAAGCTCAGTCACAGCCCCAGTCTCAGCAACACCAACAACAACAACAACAGCAACAGCAGCAGCAGCAGCAACGGTACAGCAACAACAATTACTACCAACGACATCAGCAACACCAGCAACAGCAACACCAGCAGCAACAATTCCAACACCAACATCATCATTATCAACAACAACAACAACAACAACAGCACAATTATTATCTACAACAACAACAGGAGCAATACGCCTCAGCCTATAACAGCAAATGGATGCGACAGCCGACTGAAAGTTTGTGGCGTTAATAAATGTAAGAAACAAATTTAAATGTCCTTCAGAGGGCGTGCATAAATGCGGGTGTGTGAGTATGTGTGTGTGTGTGTGGGTCATAAGTTTTTTTTTTTTTTTTAATTGACACCAAACAGCAAAGGTTACCTGCGATGGCGTAGAACGCGTTTTATTTAAGGGATTTTCAGACTTGATATACGAAATGATATAATATGCTATTGATATACATATAAGATATATATATATAAGATATATGATAATGTGA